TATTTTAAAAAATATAAATTGAGAAGATAACAAAAAGACAAAAGAAAAAAACTAAAGCTTCCTCCCATGGTGGTGCCGGAGAAATTTTGCTGGTCATATTGCTCCTTTCTTTTTCTTTCTTTAAATTTTTGTGGCAGGCGATATTGAATTGGGTTATTTTTTATTTGTTTGGTCTGGGCTTGGTGGGAAATAGGTTTAAAGGAGATGGTAATTAGGGGTTTTGGGCAAAAATGATGGCTGAAAATTCACAGAAATTTTTCTGGCCAATTGGTATTTAAATGAAAGAAATAGGGATGGATTCACAAATACTGTGTTTCAATTCGTGCACCATTTCATTGGCTCTTAAAACATAAATAGTCTTCTTATATTTATCACTGTGGCCAGTGTTTATACTTCTGCAGAACCAACCAAACTGAGAATGATATCTCATCTTCTTTTGCAGTAGACCCCTTATGTTTTTCACGAATATGTTTTGCTTGATATGGCGTATATCAGGCTTTTTTTTCTTTTACTTTTCTTTTTCTTTAACGACAGCTATTAGGGGTTTTGGGCGAAAATGGTGGTTGAAAATTCAGAGACATTTACCAGTGACTTCTCCGGCCAACTCGAGTTTTCCGGTGGTCTATCAATTTCTTGGATTTGGGGCTTGGTCGNGGGCGTGAGTTTTTTTGTTGCAAAAGATGCATATTATATAGAATATTAGGGTGGTTCGTTACAAGGAGCAGGAGGCATTAAAAACAACATTCTAGGGGGACGACCTCTGGAGGGGTCGTAACAAAAAGGGAGTTCTAGGGGTAAACTAGTAGTAATGACTATTTCTGAAGGATAACAAACAACCCCTCACTTGTGCTAGTCTGACTGTGTGGAGTTAGTTTTCTAACAAAAAAGGTTTCCAAACGGTCGTCTTCAAGCATCTGCTGAGAAGGCAAACAAAGAATTTGAATTTGCTCTCCAATAAAGTTAAGAAAAATTATCGAAAGAGCGTCCATAATTCCGGCAATATTCATCGTCCATAATTCCGGCATCCGGCAAGGTAACATCACAAAATTGGTCTTAAAAGAACACCTTTCTCATTCCAAACAACCTCCTTTTGTTTTTATCCGCAATTCTATATCAATACGCAACATATCTCAATTTTTGTTTGCGAATTACTGTAGCAGCCAGTTATTTTTCAGCAACACTATCTCTCTTGATAACGTGAAGGTTTCTGCTCTACTTTCAACTCTATGGTTGTTGAAGATCTCTTTCAAATCGATAACCAACTATTATAGATCTTATTTTTTAAACAAGAAGTACTGTACCACGCAGGTTTTTTCCAGAAATTTGCAGCGCCACTACTTTCAATACTGGGAAACTGGGCTACCATATATGATCTTATATTGAAGAAAATAGCTTACGAGTTCAGGTTTAATCTAGGTGCATACTTATACGTATATGGATTGTTGATAAACTACAAGGTGCATAATTCCCAGTTGATTTCATAAACTAACTATAGTTCATTAAAATTCGACTGCTGATCACAACACATTGAGGTCGTTTATGATAGCTAGCACAGGCGACCAGCCTCTTTCAATGGCTGGTCAGCCCCACCAAGCGTCCACTTCTATCTAAAACAATACTATACCATTACACAAGCCATTAGACTATTCGAACATATTGAAGCCAACTATGATTAATGCAACAGTACATGGAACCTCAGCAAAACAAGTTTCTGTTGAACCCATTCCGGAGCGACAAGAAGCAATCATAAATGGACAACCAGATGTTAGGTTTACTGAGGCAGAAGTTGAGAGAATGAATGTGATCGAGGAACTCCAATATGCAGTGGTTGGAAAGTTTGCGTATGGTTGGCCAGATTTAAATGAGATTCGTCGCATTGTTCCCTCATAATGTGGATTAAAGGGAGAATGTAGAATTGGTTTATTGAGAGACAAACATGTCCTTATATGTATGACATTATGGCAGGATTTTGTTGATTTTACTTCTAAAGGAGCTCAATACGTCAAGGACAAGAATGGCCAGGAATACCAAATTCGACCTCTCATATATGATGTGAAATTTAAGGCAGGAGAAGAGACTCCAATGGCTATGGCTTGGATCTCTTTTCCAGGTTTGTTACCTATTTACTTTGTAAAAGAGTGTATTTTTTTCTCTTGCCTCAGCTGTTGGGAAACCGTTACATTTGGACATGGCCACTATAAATAAAACTCGGCCTAGTTGTGCGAGGGTCAAAGTTCTTGTAGACTTGTTAGCAGAACATCCTAAAAATGTAAGAATGGACATTTTCAATGAAGCTTCAGGTGAAACAAGGACTGAATGGGTAAACATCAAGTATGATATGATTCCTAAGTATTGCAAGGAGTGCAGACTACAAAGACATGATTATTTTGAATGTTGGAAAACTCATCCGGAACTATCACCCTATTATCAAAGTAAGCAGAATGCAGATGATAATAATGAGCAGACTCAGTTGCATCATAATCAACCTTTGATGATCTTATCAAGTGGGAGAATTGTAGGCAATGTGAATCCACCTGTGGAACAATGGAAAGAAGTTAGAGACAATCGTGTCAAGAAGAATGGAAATCGTGTGGTTACAAGGAAAGAAATTATACCTGTTGATCAAGCTAAAGGGCAGCAGATGCAAGGACCTGGTATTTCCACTCAAATTAATGCTATATCAGCAAAGGAATTCATGACAGCTCATGGTAATGTGCAGCAGCCTCAAGTGTCTATTGGTAATCAGCAAAGTAGTGGTGCAGTGGGTAAGGAAATTGTCCCAGTTACTGGTAATGATCAGCAAAGAAATGTTAAGGCAAGGGAGGAAGTAGCTTCAGATGATGCAGTAGATAATCAACCAATTCAAACAACTAATATGTTTGCAGTCTTAGAGGACCACGATGGTGATGATGAAGACAATAATCAATTGGTTGTGGTGAAAGATAACAATTTTGAATGAACAACAGTAGCTAATAATACCTCTACCAAGAGTTTAAATCCTAAAGCAGCTCAGTTTAGTCCAAATCCGACTGGAGCAGGGAGTACATCAAAGACAGGTAAGAAAGTTATTCATAATGAGAAGGAGAATGCAACAATGGAAGGTACTCAAAAACAATCTACAACAGCTTGGGTCAGTAGAACATTCATGGAGAATCTTGTCGCAACTAATCAACCCTGTCAGGAAATACCATCACAGGCAACTGATCCAGAAGAGATTGCAGAGCTGCAGTTGATGAAACAAAAAGCCAACTGGCTAGGTGGTAAATTATGGAACAAACAGACAGAAGATGATCCAGATGAAGGTGACTTATCAGAAGGCTATGAAGAAGAGAAGTTACCTGAAGAGGAGACACAAGGGGAAGAAGTCAATGTTAATTGGAGTCCAAATGAGGGAGAAGTACATATAGGAGAACAAAATACCAAAACAAATGAAATAGTTCAAATGGAGATTGCAGGTTACAAGTCTAAAGTGCAACAGTCAGATGCCAGTCTCAACAATATCAGGACCACTGACCCTAACAGTTCTAGCCCTACTCCTGATCTAGTAGCAGAACCAATTGATCCTGGTGATCCTAAATGTGGGGATGAGCAGCATATGGTAGAGAAGAATGGATTGATAGTGAAGGAGACTGTAATAGCAAATGCTGAAAATTAGAATGCTTAACAACTAACTAAGGAACATGCAAACACAAGTATGATCCATAAGCCAACTGTAAATCAGATTGTAGCAGCTGAACAACAACAGATCATAGAGGAAGATACAGTGGGGAAAGGAAGGGATTTAGATGCAGAATCAACCTGTCAAAATTTCAATAAGGTGGCCAGAAAAGGAGACATTTCACCTAGATTCATGGAAAAGGGTAAATCAGTAGGCAAACGCAAAGAAAAACAAGTGAAAGGGGTTCCTAGCATCCAACCAGCTGGGGTCCAAACAAGGAGGACTATGCCTAAATCCAATATTTAGAGATGAATGCTCTAATATGGAACATTAGGCCAGTCAATACTCAAAGGGCCTTTGAAAGGCTCATAACAATGCATCGAAAATACCATTTTGAATTTATAGGTGTGATAGAACCAATGCAACAATCGAGGAAACTTGATTGGTATAGAAGGCAGATTGGCTTTGAGCAAGCTATTGTGAATATCTCTAATAAAATCTGGGCCTTTATAGATGGAAAATATGATGTTTCAATAGAGCTCAATACAGTGCAGCAACTAACTTTGAAGCTTTTTGATACAGAAGAACAGAAAAAATCCATGCTAACACTAGTCTATGCTAAGTGTGATCATAATGACAGGATTGAACTGTGGGATTTTTTGTATTATCTAGCTAGTGATATGACAATTCCATGGATGATAGGGGTGATTTCAATGTCATCTGGGATGAGGAAGAGAAATTTGGTGGACTGCCAGTATCAATAAATGAAGTTGATGATTTCAGACATTACATGAACACTTGTAATCTCACAGACATGGGATTCAAAGGGAGTATCTATACTTGGTGGAATGGTAGAGCTGAGGAATATTGTATTTTCAAGAGATTAGATAGAGTTTTCACAAACATGGAATTACAACAACTTTGGCCAAGACTGGAGATCACTCACCTGTCTAAAATTGGATCTGACCACTGCCCCTTATTGATTTCGTATAAGCCAGATGCAGTTCTTATTAAAAAGAGTTTCAGATTCCTTAAATTCTGGATAGAACATGATTCCTTTAAGAGGCGGTGAAGGAGAATTGGCAAATTGATTTTCGTGCCAACCCTTTCATTATGTTTTATCACAAGCTTAAGAGATTGAAGAAGGCATTATCTTCATAGAGTAGGGCAACTTTTAGGGCTATTTTCCAGAAAATAACTAGCCTAGAAGAAGTTGTATTGGTTCATGAATCTCAGTTCGAGATTAATCCTACAACTGAAAATAGGCAGAGGCTACAAAGGGTGCAGGCACAACTTCAAGTACTTGGCATTAGAGGAGCAATTTTGGAAACAAAAATCCGGAATGACATGGTTCAATGATGGTGATAGGAATACGAAATTCTTTCAGGCTCATGTAAATGGCAAGAGGAAAAGGCTGCAGCTAAAAAGAATTCAGAAGAATGATGGCCATTGGGTTGAAGATTCAGAAGGCATTGCAGAAGAGGCAGTTAGATTTTTCCAATCTCAATTTCACGAAGAAGTGGTACCTACAAATTTCCAAATAATTGATCATGTACCTTACATGGTTAACGGGGGACAAAACCGGGATCTACTGAAGCAACCTACTGCAGAAGAAGTGAAGCAAGCTGTATTTGGACTAAATGGTGACAATGCTAGAGGTCCGGATGGATTCAATGGTAGTTTTTTCCACTCATGTTAGGAAATAATAGGTGATGATGTGGTGGAGATGGTAAAGGCTTTCTTCAATGGGTAAGGACTACCTAGGTTTATCACCCATACAAACCTGGTATTATTACCAAAGAAGAAAGATGTAATCAACTTTTCTGATATGAGACTAATCGGCTTAAGCAATTTCATCAACAAGGTGTTTTCTCGAGTCATTCATGAGAGGTTAATTGGTATTCTCCCCACACTAATTTCTGATGAACAAGCAGGATTTGTGAAGGGAAGAAGCATAGTGGAAAATATCTTACTGACACGGGAAATCATCACTGATATTAGACTAAGAACTAAGGCATGTCCTAATGTGGTAATCAAACTAGACATGACAAAGGCATACGATAGATTGTCATGGAATTTTCTGACCAAAGTTTTGAGAAAGATGGGCTTTGCAGAAATATTTATTGGTTGGGTCTTTGGGATAATTTCCAATAATTGGTACTCAGTTTTGATAAATGGGCAGCCTCATGGTTTCTTCAAGTCTTCTAGAGGTGTTAAGCAGGGAAATCCTTTGTCACTTACTCTATTCATTTTGGCTGCTAAAGCAATGTCTAGAGGATTGAATGCCCTCCATTCTAATCCACACTTCTGTGGATTTGGAATGCCAAAGTGGAGCCCTAAGATCAATCACTTAGCATATGCTGATGATGCAATCATTTTTTCGTATTCTGATACAACTTCATTGCAACTTATCATGAAAGTGCTGACAACATATGAGACAGCTTCAGGGCAGTTGATCAACAAAGAAAAGTCGACCATATATATGCATCATCAAGCTAATGAAGAGGTGTGGAGAAAGGTAGAAAGACTTACTGGCATTGGAAGACAAGATTTTCCTTTTACATATTTGGGGGGCCCAATATTTTATGCTAGAAGGAAGATGGACTATTATAAAGGAATGATAAATAACGTGTTGAACAAATTGCAGTCGTGGAAGGGGAAGCTTCTTTCTACTGGAGGCAGAGCAGTCTTGATCTCTCACGTAATACAAAGCATGCCTATACATCTCTTGTCAGCTGTTAATGCACCAGCCAATGTAATTAACAAACTGCACAAGCTTATGACAAGGTTCTTTTGGAGCAGTTCAATAGAAGGGGGACACAGACATTGGGCTTCATGGGATAAATTATGTCTACCAGTTGAAGAAGGAGGTGTAGGATTTAGATCACTGCATGATGTAGCTAAGGCATTGTTTTGTAAACTATGGTGGAACTTTCGAACAAAGACATCACTGTGGAGTTCCTTTGTATGTTAAAAATACTGCAAGAAAATGAATCCAATTGCAGTTCCTTGGAAAAGAGGATCCCATATCTGGCGGAAGATGCTAGAATGCAGGGATTACATTGAGCATCAAATTGTCTGGCAGCCAAAGATGGGTTCTTCATTGTTTTGGATGGAAAATTGGACTGGTCTGGGGGGCCTTATACTTCATCACCCCACCGGATTTCTTCTGTGATGAATCGATCCAAAATATAAATGAAGTAGTTCAGGACAGGAGGTGGAATACACAGCTTCTAAGGCAGCTCTTACCTGATGACTTAGCCAACCACATTTTACAGAATATCAAGCCACTTGGAGAGAGCTTGATTCTGGACAAACCATTTTGGACACTTGAAATAAGGGGTAATTTTAGTTTCAGATCTACATGGGACTATATAAGGATGAGAAGGGAACCTTGTAATGCTTATAGGATGATATGGATCAAAGGTTTACCATTTAAGGTTTCATTCTTCATGTGGAAGGTGTGGAAGAATAAAATCCCTTTGGATGATTTTTTCAGAAGATTGGGCTATCAAATGGCTTCTAAATGTTGGTGTTGTATTACATCGCAAGAGGAAACAATGCCACACTTATTTTTCACTTCTTATACTGCTAGAAAAGTATGGCAATACTTTTTATCTGCTGCTGGTATTAAAATTGAAGGTTTAACATTTCACCAAGCTGTTGTGAAGTGTTGGACTGCCCCGGCAATACCAAGAATAAAACCAATAATTCAAGCTTTGCCATCCATTATAGTATGGGAGTTATGGAAGAGGAGAAATTCTTACAAATATGGAGATGCAGTGTCAGTGAATAGGGTTATATACCAGGTATCAACCACTCTGCAGTACCTGGTAAAATCCAGAAAGCCAAGTTTACAGAATATTCCTCACAAATGGCCTAATCTGATTCATATGTTGGAACAATTTACACCTAAGTTGACATATACTAAGGTGATGTGGGAGTTTCCTGAACAAGGCTGGGTAAAGGTCAATACAGATAGGGCTTCTAGGGGCAATCCTGGGAGGAGTTCTATTGGATATGTTGTGAGAAATAAAGAAGGAAATGTAGTATATGCGTGTGGCAAAGAGATAGAAGAAGGCACAAACACAGAAGCTGAGGTGAAAGCCATTCTGGAAGCATTGAGATATTGTGTTGCAAATGAATATATTTTGATAGACTTACATACTGACTCAATGGTAGCCAGAAATGTAACTCTAGGGGAATGGAATGTGCCATGGTCAGTGGTGGGATATATGGGGGAGATAATGGAGTTTATGGATAGGTGCAATATGAATATATCACATACATTGAGGGAGGGTAATAAGTTGGCAGATCACATAACTAACTATGCTCTTGACATTGGTCCAATTGAATGTAATAGTTTTAGTGATTTGGATATCCATGAGAGGAAAATAGTCAACAGTGATATGCTACAATGCCCATACATAAGAGTAAAAATTGCAAGATGATAGGAGGGGAGGAGGGAAGGAGTAACAGGAGCAGGAGGAAACATGGAACCTTAGTCAATCACCATGTTCAGGAGGAGAATATGGTGATCCTTTTAATTACTAATCATGTTTTCTTTTTTTGCAGGTAATGGTATAATGATAACTCCCTTACACAGCTCTCACTTGGTGGTATCAGTACTGTGTGCTCAATCCAAGGAGAGTAAAGAAAGAGATGGCACAAGCATGGAAAGAGAGATTAAAGGGGAGCAACTTCGTGATCTAAAGAAACAGATGAGTAGACAAGCAATATTTGAAGGGACTTCACACAGCTGGACTATGAATGAGATACAGTTAGGGACCAAGTAGGCCAACAAATGCTTAGAATCTACAACACAAAACACCAGAGGACTAAAGAAATCATCCATCACGGTAAACAAGGGCAACATGACATTATGGAAGGAATAAGGACGATGCAAGAATGTTACTGAAATCCCAGTTGAATTTTTTAATAATATGTATTCATTCCAATGCAAAGAAGGAAAAAAAAATCAAAGCAATGGGATCGAGATTCATTACTTGGTCGGAACAAAAGGCTTTGAGGCGTGGTTGCACATGCCAAAAAATAATGTCCATAGTATAGGCATGGCAGTTGGAGAACGTGACAAAGCTGTGGACACTACAAATTCCAAGGGAACGCGTCGAATAAGAAAACATATATTACTTAGGATGTCTTGGGCAGTGTATGGAAATACATGGAAACATATGTGTAAGCGTGATATTGGAAAGCCAATAGTTGAGATCTCAAGGACGACAAGGATGGATAGTAAACTGGCGGGGGAGTTTCATTTACGCAAAAGGAAGTTTGAAGGCAAAGGACAAAGAAAACTGGAAACTATATGTAATGCAAATAAGTTGCAATATGCGATGGATGATCATCAAAGGACATCAGTGATTCTCAAGACACAAAACATTTGCATGTCCGCGTGCAAGCCTAGTGCAAATCTAAACATAGTTCAAATTTATGTACTATCAATGGGGAGTATTATACGAACCATTGATATTAGGGTCAATGTATGCCTCAAGTATTACTACTTCCACTTTGTAAGGCCACCATACATGTTATTATCCTTTTGTATTAGCTATTGTTATACTTTTAATAAAACAAAACTACTAGGTATGCCTAGTAGTATAATTTGCCAAAAAAAGCATCTGATGTACAAAGTTCGGTGGTTGAACAAAAACAGTGATGTTTGGTGAAGCCTCCATCTGCAAACCATATTTAGCTAAGGAGTCAGCTACCCGATTTTGCTCCCTGTACATGTAAAGGACATTCGAATCATGCAGTCGAGCAATCAAACACCTGCAATCAAGGATAATGTTAGCATAAAGTGGATGAGAGGAATGAAGTATAGGAAGAAGGGCTTTAGCATCTAAGTTGACTTCTAAGAGTGTGTAGCCGTTAGTAAAAGCCAGGTGCATGCCATGATATAATGCTAAGAGCTCGGCTTCCATACTTCCGTGTACTAAGTGATGTCCTGCAAATCCCAAAATCCAATTACCCGTGTGGTCCCGGATGACTCCACTAATTCCCCATGAGCATTGTGTTGTGAGGCGGAACCATCAGTATTAAGTTTAAAGTACCCTGGACGAGGGGGGTGCCACTGGATATGAATAGGGATACGGAGGAAGTAGGGCAGGAGGGGGTCGCGAGATGGTAGAATTCTGCAGCCATATCAAGGATGAGAGACGCAGAGAGAGGTGGGTGATGGTTTCAAAAAAGCTTACCATTATGGGCCAACCAGATGTGCCAAAGAGCAAAAGGAATAAGGATGTCGTTAGGGATATTTAAGTGATTCGGCACGTGAGTTTGGAAAAGAAGTTGATGAAGCAAAATGATTGGAGAGCCAATGTTGTGCAGGAGTGACGTAATTGCTGGTAGCATGGATAACTGTGACTAAAGATGGACAACAGCGGGACAATAAAGAAATAAATGAATCGTTGTTTCAGGATGGGTGAGGCAGATGGCGCAAGTGTCATTAGGGAGGAAACCGATATGGTGATAATGGCTGGCAGTAAGGAGGCGGTTATGGCTAATCAGCCAAAGGAAATATTTTATTTTTTGCGGGAGTCGGAGCTTCCATATCCAATGAAATGACGGCCCGGTGTAAGAGGGAAGTAATTGGTGATATAGTGATTTTGTATTGAAAGTTCCGCTGGAAGCTAGAGTCCAGGCAAAAGAGTTAGAGTTTGTAGTGTGAGTGTGGATATAGGTGTTAAGAATCTGTTGTAAGAGTTCTGATGGTAGTTCAAAAGTGACAAGGGTGAGGTCCCATTGGCGTCGTGAATATAAGTGGATACAGTGTCAAGAAGGGCATGACGTGGTAGGGGTCCAACGATACATTTGCACAATGGTCGATTAGGGCCAAGCTAGGCATCAGTCCAGAAGTTAATGAGTGTGCCTTTACCGATAATCCATTTGATGCCTGATTGACAGAGGTGCCAACCGGCAAGGAGGTTTTTCCAAATAAAAGAACCACGAGTACGAGGATGGGTGGTGTGATAAAAGTATCTGTGGAGGAGGGTAGCAGCCTAGAGGGAGGAAGGATTGTGGAGCATGCGCCAGGATTGACTAGCGAGTAAAGTGTCATTTTTGTGGGATAAACGTTGGATGCCCAGACCACCATGCCTTTTTGGTAAGGTGACAGTACTCCATTTGACGAGGTGAATTTTCTTTTTATTTGGAGTGGTGCCCCAGAGAAAATTACGCTGGCAATGCTCTAATTGAGAGAGAAAAGTACGGAGAATTTTAATGTATTGCATGACGTGGTTCGAGAGACTATTTGGAGTAGAGTTAATAAGGGTAGTGCACCCATCCATAGTAAGTAAAGTGGTTTTCCAACCTCCAAGCCGTTTTTTAAAGTTATCAAGAATGAATTGGAAGTGACGTTTGGTGGGCCGCTCTATAAAAATTGGAAAACCTAGGTATTTACCGAAGGTTGTACCTTCAGTCATATTAAAGGAGGATAGGATAAAAGTTTTATCCTGTGTGGCAGCATTCTTGGAGAAGAAGATTTTTTATTTTTGAAAGTTTATTTTTTGGCCAGAGGCACGATTGAAGTCATTAAGGATGTCGATTTTAGTATGACAACTGCGGGTTGACTTTGTAGAAGTGAGTATAATGTCGTCAGCAAAGAATAAGTGAGAGAGGGTAGGGCCATGTGGGGAGAGACAGATTGGTTTCCAAAGTTGATAATCAACTGCCATTTCGATTTTGCGAGTAAGTAATTCCATACAGAGGATGAAAATATAAGGGGATAGGGGGTCACCCTGGCGAATACCACGTGAAGGGGAAAAGAATGGGGTATGAGTACCATTTAGAAGGATGGAAAGGGAGGAAGTAGTGATACATGACATAATTAATTGAATGATGGGAGAGGAAAAGTTAAAGTATTAGAGTGTCTGGCGAACAAAAGACCATTCAAGTCGTTCAAAAGCTTTCTCGAGATCCAACTTAAGGAGCATGGGACCTGTTTTACCCGATTTCTTCTGAAAATGGTAAAGAATTTCTTGTACAATGATAGAGTTATCAGCCGCTCATCGGTGCTATTGGAAGTTAGTCTGAGTAGGGCTGATGAGTGTAGGTAAGAGGGGTTTAATACGTTGTACTAAAATTTTTGTCATGATTTTATAAATTGTGGACATAGGTCAATAGAGCGATATTGAGTAATCATGGATGCATTAGGAACTTTTGGAATGAGACAGACGTAAGTTTGGTTGATGGGTTCAAGAATTTGAAAAGTTGAGAATATGTGGTGACAGAAGTCAATGACTTTTGGTCCCACTTCCGTCCAATAATGTTGATAAAATAAAGGGTGTAAGCCATCAGGTCTGGGTGCTTTGAAGAGTTTGAAGGAATTGACGGCTGAGAGGATTTCACTTGTGGATAATGGGCGGAGTAGGTCCGCACAAGCTGCTGGAGTGAGGGGGAAGAACATGGGGTGGGGGGGTGATAGTAGAGAGTGTGTGGATTCTGTGGTGTAAAGAGATGTAAAGTATGCGAAAATGGTGTCATGAATTTGAAGATCGTCATAGCACCAGTTACCCGTGAGGTATTTTAATGCATAGATACGATTCTTACGATGGCGGTGTAATGTGGAGAGGTAAAAAAATTGGTGTTGGCGTCACCATTTTGTATCCATTGGACACGGGATTTGAGTTTCCAGAATTCTTCCTCGAGACGAAGAACAACATTATATTCTTGTGATAAAGTACTTTCTAGTTGTTGTAAGAAGTGGCTAGTGGGATAATTTGGGGAGGATTGAATACCTCCTAACCTGGCGAGTAAGTGTCATTTTTGATGGAAAATATTGCCAAACGAATCTTTATTCTATATGCTAATATGATGTTGGAAGGAAGAGATGGCATCTACTAGGGTGAGAGGTGGGTGCCAACTGTCGCGAAGAATGGTAAGAAAATCGGGATGGGAGGTCCACATGGTTTCTAGTAAAAAAATGGGTGATTTGAGAAGGTGCGAAGGTTGAGGAGTAAGTAAGAGTGGTGAATGGTCGGAGTGGTTGCGGGGCAAGTGACGGACTTGGGCTTCAGGAAATAAAGTGAGCCAATTGTAATTTGAAAAAAGTCTATCAACACGTTCTAAAATGTTGGAACCCAGCTTCCGTTTATTAGTCCAGGTATATTTGCTACCTTTACAGCCAAGATCGACTAAATTGCAATAATTAATACAGTCAACAAAGTGATTTATGCGTGAATTATTAATAACACGACACCAAATTTTTCAGTAGAGTGTAAAATTTCATTAAAGTCACCTCCAATGAGCCAGGGTCCTTTATAGTGGTCGAATAAACACATGAGATTTTACCATAATAACAGATGATTAGCATAATAAAGGCTAGCATAAATTGCAGAAAATAAATACTTTGGAGTGTTAGGATGTACCTGGATCATGACGTGGATTTCTTGTTCTGTCATAGCTATGTTGTCAACATATAAGAGCTGTTCATGCCAAAGCATCACAATACCTCCTGATTGACCCACGGCCGAAACTTCATAGTAGCGGGTGAAACCAAAATCTTCTTGTAAAACAACATGATTTTGCATGTGTGTTTCAAAAAGGACGATTAAAGCAGGGGCATGGTAATCAAGCAGGGAACGGAAATTGCGACGAAAGTCATTGTTATGGGCACCTCTACAATTCCAGAGCATAAAATTCATATTTGGAGTATGAGGGGAGTCTTCAGAGTCAGATAGTGGGGCCGAGGGAGTCTCCCTAGGAATCAAAGCAAGGTGTGTCTCCGGCAATGGTGGACTCTGTTGCCTTAGGGTCGGGATCAGCACTATGGTGTACT